TCATTTGATTAATTCTCTTGGAAATGTATCTTGATGAAGAGTCAGTTACCTTTGGAACTTTTACCTTGATCAAGGATGAAAATAGTGTCCATTAAACATTAGTTCCTACCTTCATTATAGTATCAGATTAACTTCTTCATTTACAAGTGTATCCTTTATAACCTGAGACTGTGTGCATTGTTTAGTAAAAGCTTAGAATCATTTTCAAGCCATTAAACTAAGTTATCTATAAGCCTGCATGGTCATACACAATACATTAATGGACAAATGTCTTAAGAAAGAGGAGAATGCTTTTATGGAAATTTGAGAGGAGAAAATAATTGTTTCTTGTACCTGTAAAGTGAAGTGAACTGTACTTCCTTTTAATTAAAATTTATTTGCTAGTGAATTTGTTCAAAATAAACTGCATGACTCTTTCTATATCATTTTAATTGGAATGCCAGTTTATGGAAGTTGAAAGGGATAAAGATTTTTAGTGTTTCAATGGTTGATTTGATCATTATTGTTGAAATTATATAGATTTGCCCTTTCTTGTTCTTGCTAAAACCATAATTTATGGAGTAACACATATATATGATAAGATTCAGGAACCATTTGCAGTAAGAGAACTAGCTAAAAAGTGCACAAGTTGTTGTAGCTTTAGAAACCCTGACATACAAGCAAATTGAATATTGCTGCATCATATTTTGAGGATATTATAAAATAGATAATGATCATTATGTTGACATTCTATCACAAAATGTATCCATTTAGCATCTGTGTATTTTCAGTATAATTTTGTTTTATAGCAATAAAAAAATTCATTTGGTTTTGAAATTAGACACAAGTACTATAGCTTTTATATTTAAATTGTTGCCACTTTTTTATGTTTGTTGGTATATAGTGTACATATTTCATAATTTAGTTAAAAAACAACATATGATTGAATGTTAACAATATTACTCTGTAGAAATGTAATGTTTCATTGCAAAATCTGCTCTGAAAAAAAGTTTGCAAAGAAATCTTGAAAAAGTTTGGAAACGGTTGTTACTTGTTGTAAAATGTGGTGTTAAAATGACCAGTAGAAATAGATGAACCACCTTTAACTTAAGATATGATGTTATGTTGAAAGAAATTATAGGCTTACTAGATCCAAACCAACAATTTAACAACATGGTCCATTATTAGTAATAACAAGACTACTTATACTGTCTCCTGGTGGAAATCTATACAATATGAAACAAATCTGGGAAAGCCAATTCAATTAAGTTAATTTAAAAAATAAATCTGATTTAATTTCATGTCTTCAATCAATCAGGCTTTTTTAAATTACGTTGAATTTAAATTTTAGACTGTTATAAATTGTAGGAATATTACATTACATTAATTACTTTTGGAATAATGATAATGATAATTTTCCCTCCATTCAAACATTGAACAGCAATAAAATATTTACATTTAAGTTAATTAATGTTTCCAAGCTATTTTCTAATAAAATGATTATATGGTGTTTTTTTTTTGTCTTAATTATCTAATTCAATGTCATATTAAAAGGCACAGAATCATCCTTGAATTAGATTCTTAAAACAACACTATATAAGTGCAATCATTAGAAATAGCAGGGGTGATTATATTTCACCGCAACCAAATGATTGTGACAACCTAGATATCCCTGAAATTGGTAATGGATAATTTCAAATATGGAAGCTTAACATTTAAGAAATTCAGGACGTTTAGAACCTGCTTAGTCTGTCCATCTTTGCTTTTAGACAACATTTTATACAATTGTTATAATTCATGTTCAATCTTAGCTCTTCAAATAAAGGAGATACTGACGGTAAAAGTATTTTGAAATCTGTTAATAATTTGATAATGAATTAATAGGAAAAGTTGAATATAAAACTTTAACAGTATAAGTAATACATTTTAAAATATCTTAAAGGCACATAATGTCTCAGAAGTAATAAATATTTACTTCTTTAGAAAGATCAAACATGAGTTTTATAATGTTTTAATAATAGTAACATTATGAGCATGTTAGATGACTGTTACCTGAAGAAAATAGCTCCAAATATAAAATAATATGCCATAAAAGTAGCAAAATGTAAACAAAGTAGTATTTTGACTACCATACTCAATGCTAAATCACTAGAAATGTACTAACTGCCAAAAAGTAACAGAAGAAAAAGACAGGTCAGGTAATTGTCAAATGAGAAACTTTTTGGAAATCCAAAAATAAAAAGATTTTGAGAAAAAAAAGACGAAAGCATTCTGGGGCATAATGTGCCTTTCAGACTATATTACTTTATTGGTAATTGCAGTTTAAGATACATTCAAAAATAAGAATACTAAAATTTCACCACATGAGCTATTCCCATTGTAATCTTTTTGTTAATCTTGAATCTTGGAGAGATTTTGATATTAACCTTTTCCCTGATACAGCCCCCTTAATTTACTGCTTTACACCCCATAATACAGTAGCCAGATAGATAATCAATAATCAATATCCTACTGATAAGGAGTCACACACTATCTCCATATAGGGTATGATAAATTATAGGTAAAATTGGTCAAATTAGATACCTATATACTTTAACTGGAAAATAAAGTATTAAGTTGTGTTTTGACAATTTTTGTATCAATAAAAAGTTTGTAGAGAATTGAAATACCTTTCCAATGGTATAAATATCATATTTGTTGGGTTTATACAAATATGTCTACATGAGTTATAAAGTAATAAACTATATACTTGATGGTGTTTTTTTCTCCATTGTTTCAGATAAATTAGGCTACTTATGTGTTTTAACTAATGTGAAATGGTTTAATTACAAGTTTGACAATATATATGTCAATGTAAGATTTGTAGAGATTTGAATTATCTTTCCAGTGGTATAAATTTTATATTTGTGGGCTTTATAACAGTATAATTACAGTAGTTATAAACAATAAAATGATGTATATTTTTTTCTCTCATTAGGGAAATATGGCTAATTTATTATTAATTTTTTTGGTTTATGCAGCATTCATTTTTAGTGAAATAAATAACAACAAGTTCTTTTTTTACCTTTTTTTATACCAGTAAAAAGAAATCTCACTTTTTTTTTTTTTTTATTTATTTTATCAGTTTTTTTTTTATATTTTATTTCATAATAGTAACTGTCATTTCTGTAATACATGTATATAACTGTTGAATGAAATATTTCAGAATTTCTGCTGTCATGGTCATATATTTTCTTCATGAATTATGAATTTAATTAAATTTTATCATTTATAGATCTAATTTAGATCAAATGATGATAAAGGAAAGACATCCTCGAGTTCCACGGCCTTTTCGGCATTTTCATGTTGCCGACATCAAAGATGATATATGGGATATGATTTTATCATGTCGTATTATACACGGCCCCATGCTGTGTCTGTTATGAAAACAATAGCGCACATGAAAGAATTTAAACTATTAAACATTTCTTTGTCGGTCATTTTCTTAAAAAAAATCGCCGCTGCTACCGGAAATATTTTATTGCAGGGGCCAGAGAGATACCCCTTGTCAGGCCGTTAATTAATCCGTGTTTATACACATGTCAGCTATCATAAACCAAAACAAACATCAAATCCATTATACCATGCCTGGCACGTGAACGACCCGTGATCATATAAATACTATTTATTCATTAGATGCTATTTTAGACACTTTTGTTCCTGTCTTACGATACGTTCTATATTTATTTCATTGACCCGCGCACTCATTAACTGCGTGACGTAAGGAAAACCCCTCACCTGGTTGGTCGCTAATTATACAAAAACTTTAAATAATAACACCATAATTTTATGCACGGAATCCCCTCATGAAATGTTGATCTTTACGATAACACAATTTACAGGTCTATTTTCCGGGAAAATTGTTGATTTTTGGACAGGTAAATATTGAAGTCGGCGAAAGTCGGTTCCATTGAGATCATGCATGTCGGCGATTCTCGCTTACATGCGGTAATCGATAAAGCCGTCGATTCTCGCTTCTATCAGGGAATGGTAAAAGACGGCGATTCTCGCTTCTATAAGGGAAAAGGTTAAATTACCATGCTACATTGTTTGCTAATGCACACTGACAAGATTAGAATCTGTTGATATATCACTGAAACAACCACTTTAAACATAAAATAAATATGCTGAATTCCATACTAAAAATATAACTTATCCTGAATAGATTAACTTGATCTGAACTCAACCTCCAACAGTGTATGCCTTATAATCATGTCACAAGCATTTCATTCAAATATTCATCTGCATGAATTTCAATCAGTTAAACATTGTTATCTCAGATGAAGGACATAAGTATACGGACATTTTTGTCTCACCTCTAGATACCATAGAACCCTGTACATAACCTTAAATGATCTTGATATGACCTGGGTACTGTCCTTAGTCTTAAACACACAACTTAATTGAAAAGGAAATCATCATAATTGAATTTTTCATAACATTATCCAGGATTTTGTAGTGCAAATATTTGTTTGTTTCAAGTTAGTACAGTTTTTTTAGAAAAAACATAAGAGCTATTGCTGCAGTCATGGTGCTGTTCCAGTTCCTGTTACAGCCCACCAATTATGATCATGAATTTTAATGCTTAATGAATTGTCTTTATTCTTGGACAAAACAACCCTTTGGATGAGACATCAACTAGACCAGACGAAACGTGACCTTGACTTATAAATGACCTTGACCTGAAGTTGAATTTTTCTTAAACTTTCATAACTTAGTTATGATGAGGGAAATTGCACTTCTTTATTATCCCTCATGTACAGACTCAATCAAACCGAGTCTGCAATTTTCATGATATTTTATTGTGATTAATGCTTCCGAGGGATCACCTTTTTTCCAGAGTTTTACACTCAAAAACTCTGAAGAAAGTATAATATATTAGATGAAAACTTGAAAATATTAGCAAGGTCATTTGTCATATTGATACAATCATGAGGAGAAGTATTGGTTTGCTTATAAATGATTTCATGATATTTTTGCAGATTAATGATGGATGAAGTTGGCAACTCTAATTCCCAAGACATACTGATGGCTGGAATAAATTGAATCAAAAGTTGCAAGATGTTAAAATGTTGCTGATCAAGTAAGTTCACAATGTTCCTATGGGTTTTGTCTCTCTGTAATAACTATCTGCCCAACTTGTGTATTTGCTTTCTTTAGAAATATTTGACATCACTTTACAGTAGAGAATGCGCCATTATGCTTACTGTTGTCTCTCACTCTGTAATATGGTGGCTTGTACAGATGGACTTAGTTGTGTTAATTTGTGTGTTAGTCTGTTATATACGTGTATTGAAACTTTATTTGAGACATGCAGATTAGATCATTTATACAGTATTGACAGAAACATATTTTGTCTTGATAATTACAAATTGGATTACTGAATAGAAAAACGGATCAGAATAGTCCCTTGTGAAATCTCAAAATATGTACATGACCAGTTTATTGTGCCCCACTTTAGTGGCGGACATTTAGATTTACCCTTGTCCGTCCGTCCTTCCATCCGTTCTCTTTTGTGTTCGCACGTAACTCAAAAAGTATTTGACCTAGAGTCATGAAACTTTACAGGAATGTTGATCAGCATGTGAAGTTGTGCACCTGGGTATTTTCGTCTGGATATTTTTAGTATTTTTAGAGTTATTGCCCTTGACTTAGTAAAATTTTGCAATTTTCAACTTGTGTCGCATGTAACTCAAAAAGTATTTGACCTAGAGTCATGAAACTTTACAGGAATGTTGATCAGTATGTGTAGTTGTGCACCTGGGTATTTTCGTCTGGATATTTTTAGTAATTTTAGAGTTATTGCCCTTGACTTTGTAAAATTTTGCAATTTTCAACTTGTGTCGCATATAACTCAAAAAGTATTTGACCTAGAGTCATGAAACTTTACAGCAATGTTAATCAGTATGTGTAGTTGTGCACCTGGGTATTTTCGTCTGGATAATTTTAGTATTTTTAGAGTTATTGCCCTTGACTTAGAAAAATTTTGCAATTTTCAACTTGTGTCGCATGTAACTCAAAAAGTATTTGACCTAGAGTCATGAAACTTTACAGGAATGTTGATCAGCATGTGTAGTTGGGATTAATTTAGTATTTTTAGAGTTATTGCCCTTGACTTAGAAAATTTTGCAATTTTCAGCTTGTTTCGCATGTAACTTAAAAAGGATTTGACATAGAGTCATTAAACCTTATGGGAAGCTCAGCATATTTAGTTTTGCACTTGGGGTTTCGCTTGTGCTTAGAGCTTAGATATTTGGCATGAAACATCTTCTAGTAAGTGTCTACCAAGTTTGTTCAAATAAAAGCCCTGGGGTCAAAATTGGCCCTGCCCCAGGGGGTCATTGATTTTCTCTATATGCATATAGTAAAACCTTAAAAAATCTTCTTTTAATGAACCCATGGAGCTAGAGCTAAGATATTTAGCATGAAACATCTTCTAATAAGTGTCTACCAAGTTTGTTCAAATAAAAGCCCTGGGGTCAAAATTGGCCCCGCCCCAGGGGTTAATTGATTTTCCCTATATGCATATAGTAAATACTTAAAAAATCTTCTTTTAAAGAACCACAAGAGCTAGAGCTAAGATATTTAGCATGAAACATGTTCTAATGGGTATCTACAAAGTTTGTTCAAATAAAAGCCCTGGGGTCAAAATTGGCCCCGCCCCCGGGGTCATTGATTTTCCTGATATGTGTATGGCAAAAACTTAAAAAATCTTCTTTGAAAAAACTCAAATAGCTAAGGTTTAGATATTAAGCATGAAACATCTTCTAGTAAGTGTCTACAAAGTTTGTTCAAATAACAGCCCTGGAGCTAAAACTGGCCCCGCCCCAGAGGTGTCATTGTTTTTAACTATATGTGTATAGTAAAACTTAAAAAATCTTCTTTTAAAAAACCCAATGAGCTAGAGGTTAGATTGCAGGAAGCATTTTTTGTGGGTGTCTACCAAGTTTGTTCAAATAAAAGCCCTTGGGTTAAAATTGGCCCTGCCAAGGGGGGGGGGGGGAGGTCATTGTTTTTCATTATATGTGTGTAGTAAAGACTTAACATCATGAAACATCTTCTAATGAGTGTTTTCCAAGTTTGTTCAAATAAAAGCCCTGGGGTTTAAACTAGCCCCGCTCCGGGGGGCCTAAATACAGGTGAGCGACCTCAGGGCCATCATGGCCCTCTTGTTATTTTTATTTTTAGCTCACCAGTCACAAAGTGACAGGGTGAGCTTTTGTGATCGCTTTTCGTCCGTCTGTCGTCCGTCCGTCGTCCGTAAACTTTTACTTTAAATGACATCTCATCATAAACCACTAAGCCAATTTCATCCAAACTTCACAGGAATGTTTCTTTGGTGGTCACCTTTGAAAATTGTTCAAAGAATTTAATTCCATGCAGAACTCTGGTTGCCATGGCAACCAAAAGAAAAAACTTTAAATATCTTCTTTTAAAGAAGCCAAAGAGCTAGAGCTAAGATATTTAGCATGAAACATCTTCTAATGGGTGTCTACCAAGTTTGTTCAAATAAAAGCCCAGGGGTCAATATTGGCCCCGCCCCAGGGGGTCATTGATTTTCCCTATATGCTTATAGTAAAAACTTAAAAAATCTTCTTTTAAAGAACCCAATGAGCTAGAACTAAGATATTTAGCATGAAACATCTTCTAGTGAGTCTCTAGCAAGTTTGTTTAGTTAAAAGCCCTGGGGTCAAAATTGGCTCTGTCCCGGGGCTAATTCATTTTCCTTACATGTGTATAACAAAATCTTTTTTGAAAAAACTCAAATAGCTAGAGTTTAGATATTAAGCACGAAGCATCTTCTAGTGAGTGTCTACAAAGTTTGTTCAAATAAAAGCCCTGGGGTCAAAATTGGCCCCGCCCCGGGGGACATTGATTTTCCTTTTATGTGTATAGCAAAAACTTAAAAATCTTCTTTGAAAAAACCCGAATAGCTAGAGTTTAGATATTAAGCCTGAAACATTTTCTAGTAAGTGTCTACAAAGATTGTTCAAATAAAAGCCCTGGGGTCAAAACTGGCCCTGCCCCAGGTGTGTCATTGTTTTTTACTATATGTGTAAAGAAAAAACTTGAGGAGCTAGACCTTAGAGGTTTAGCATGAAACATCTTCTAATGTGTGTCTACCAAGTTTGTTCAAATAAAAGCCCTGGGGGTTTAAACTGGCCCCGCTCCGGGGTCCTATATACAGGTGAGCGACTTCAGGGCCATCGTGGCCCTCTTGTTTTAATATGCGTTTATTTAAGGTCACCGCCGGAAAGCCCATATGGGCGACTGTACACTCAAGTAGGGCCATAATAGAGCGTCCCGCCAAGATTTTTGTCGATTTTTTCCAGCTTTATTGGTGGAGGAAGACCCCAGGTGCCCCTCCAGGCATTATTTCAGGCACAAGCAGGCACCTGGGTAGAACCACCGACCTTCTGTAAGCCAGCTGGATGGCTTCCTCACATGATAAATTTCGACCCGAATAAGGATCGAACCTACAGCGGTGAGGGACCTGTGATCTCAAGTCAGCGACCTTAACCACTCGGCCATGGAGGCCCCCCTCATAAATGGCCCAACCTGGGTGCCACTAAATAGCATATTAGGGATAACTAAGATAAAAACATGTTTCAGACAAAAAGATACTGTAAAACACTTATTATTCGCGAGAAATTTATTTTCGCTAATATTCGCGAGCTTTCTAAGACGCGAATTCATATTTCTCGCGAATATTTCACTTTGTCTATACACTTGTCCGAAAATGAACACTGTCCGAAAATGCGTACACATGGATATATATCTGCGGGAAAGTATCGAAACCAGTTCTAGTTACATCATGTAGCTATTCAAGTGTTGCAGTATATACATATGGTACAGATTACTCCTGTAATAATTTAGTATTATTGAGGAATTGGAAAAAAAACCTTCTTCGCTGCATATTACCTGTGTCAAGGAAGGTAAATGTGACTTGCACTAGAATTAAGTATAAACAAATTAATGCGTCACAATCACCTTCTTAAGGCCATTATTTTTTGATATTTCGGTTTACAGACCCGCCGACTCTGTATTTTGGGAAAATGAAAAAAAAAAAAATCTGCTCCCAAAAAAATTCTGTGTTGTCTTGAAATACGCTGCTAATAATACGACTTGTCAAAGAAATGTTGCGGTAAGTATTTTAATTAACTGTTAAACCTACCACATGCCAGACTCTTTTACCTACGATTTATACACGCAACCGGTTATCTTTACTCGAGAATAGCCTGTCGTCTGCTAGTTGGGCAAAGTGTTTATTGGTGTATTATGAAAGAATGTCTGTTAAATGGGGTCAAGCCATTCTCACAGAATTATAATTAGGCTTTGATCATATTTCATCAATGCATTGAAGGTCGAAATGCGTAAAAATGTAAAACAACAAAACAAACAAACAAAAAAAAAACAACCAAACAACCAAAAAAAAAACAAAAAAAAACACGCCAAATTACGTAAGCAATTACATTCAAGGACAGAGCGAGAGAAATCTACTGCAATTGACAAGTTCAGTATTTTCAGATTTAACAAAAAAAAATTAGTCTTTAAAAGCAGATTGTTCAAACAAACAAAATAAAAAAAATGCCCGCACTTACTTTTTTTAATAGATTTTTTATGTCAAAAATTGACCCGCTAATTATCCGATAAAAATATTTTCACAATGGGCAAAATTGAACATGACTTTGTGTAATCTTTTTTTTTTAACATCTGATCTATAAAGAAATGAGTGCAAGTCAGCTGATTTTCGGCACCTTTGATGATTCAGATTACACAGCAGTGTGTAAACATCAAAGAATGACAGATTCTTTTGAAGAGCTCCCTTGCCACTTGTCATAAGTCATTGTGTGTAGATTTCATGTGTGTTTTTAAACAATGGCAATATGAGCAAAAGTTTTTTATTTGTGTATAAACAATCTTTGGAATAGACAATCGGCGATGTATTTAATTTCATTGCTCTAGTAAGTACTATGTATATGTATGCACCACATTTATAGTTATGAAAACTTTTTTTTTTTTTTTTTCCCGCCGCCGACCCTACCTTTTTTTGGAAAAAATCAGTAAACCAAAATATAAAAAAAAAATGGCC